TGGCCACCCTAGTGTTGCCCTGCTGGGCTCCAGCCATCCTTCTGCCTTAACATTCCAAGTAGCCAGAACTACAGGTGGAACTACAGTGCTACCACGTCCGGCTAATTTTTGATTTATTGTAGAGACGAGGTCTTGCCAAGTGGCCTGGGCTGGTCTCAAACCCGCGGACTCAGGCCATGCCTTCGCCTTGGCCTCCCAAAGTGCTGGGATGACAGGCTGAGCCACCAAGTCCGGCTCCATCTTAGGTCTTAGGAGAAAGGACCCCTTGTCTGCCCTCCTTAAGAGACACCTGGAGGCTGGGGGTTGATCGACGAGATTCCGTTTTGGAGGCCTTTCTCCTGTTGAGGAAAACATCTGTGTGGAGATGAACTGAACTTGAGTTTACACAACTTGTGTTTCATGTTGCTTCTAAAGCATGGCAGTAATAAAATCGGAGCTATAATTCCTTGTCACCAGTGCCTAAATATAAATGTCTATTAAAGAGTATGCCAGTAGTTCAGATGGTAAAGAGACTTGTTAGTGTTTCTTGACATCATAGAATGCTCAGGAGGGAAATGGTGAATGTCATTTCAAGCCACTTTCTATTTTGTATTCATTCTTTAAAAAAAAAAAATTTCAGGCTGGACATGGTGGCTTACACCTATAATCTCAGCACTTTGGGAGGCCAAGGTTGTTTGAGCTCAGGAGTTCAAGACTAGTCTGAGCCGGGCTCAGTGGCTCAGCCTATAATCCCACACTTTGGGAGGCTGAGGTGAGTGGATTGCCTGAGCCCATGGGTTCGAGACCCGCCTGGGCAACTTGGCGAGACCTCATCTCTACAATAAATTTTTTAAAAAAATTAGCCAGGCGTGGTAGTGTGCGCCTGTAGTGCCAGCTACTTGGAAGGCTGAGGTGGAAGGATCGCCAGAGCCCAGCAGGTTGAGACTGCAGTGGCCGGGAGTGACCACTGCACTCCAGTCTGGGTGACAGAGTGAGACGCCAACTCAAAAAAAAAACACTAGTCTGGGCAACATAGTGAGACCATGTCTCAATAAAAATATTTTTAAAAATTAGCCAGCATGGTGGTGCACACCTGTAGTCCCTGCTACAGGGGAGGCTGAGTGGGAGGATCACCTGAGCCCAGGAGCTCGAGGGGAACCATGATGGTGCTGCTGCATTCCAGCCTGGGCGACAGAGTGAGACCCCAATTTAAAAAAAAATGCAGGCCGGGCTCTGTGGCTCAGCCTGTCATCCCAGCACTTTGGGAGGCTGAGGTGAGTGGATTGCCTGAGCTTGTGGGTTTGAGACCTACCTGGGCAACTTGGCAAGACCTTGTCTCTACAATAAACCAAAAATTAGCCAGACGTGGTAGCGCATGCCTGTAGT